ATTAATATTACTTATTTTCTAAGAATACTAAAAATATAAAATATAACTTATATTTAAGAAAAAATAGTATCTCATTTATATAAATAATTAATTGTACTTATTTTAAGACAACTGAAAATATAAGATTTCACTTATGCTAAAGAAAAATAATTTTCCTTCTGTATCAACGTAAATATCTTACATTTTTTTATTGGACAGTAGAAAATATAATAATTAACTTATAATTAGAAAAATAATATCCCCTCCACATCACTTTAAGCGTCTTATTTTTCTTTTAATTAGAAAAAGTTAACTATAGTTAAATTTCTTATTACAAAATTAGAAAGAAAAAACAAATTAAATACATTTACCATGAAAAACTTGAGTGAACTTTTTTCCTATCATATTATATATATATATAAAAGAAGATGAAAGTTAACCATAAGTATCCCAATTTTTAATTGGAAAAAAAAACGTTTGATCATAAAAATTGGATTTAACTTCTTTTTGTTCTAAACAAGGTTAATTATTTTATTCTTTTATAGGTTAACTTCTTCCAAAAAAAAATTATTATAAAAAAATTGTCACGACTCAGACCATCGTGATTGGCACCCACACTAACCATCCGGTGGAAGAACCATAACTACTAACTAACTAACAATTTAAAGCTACGGAAGCAGGTTTAAATAACTAAATAAGGAAGTTCCCATAAACTTCAACAAAAGATCTAACAACTAAACTAAACAAATGCGGAAGAAATAACCTAGAACCTGAAAGTCAATGTACCAAAACTCTAACAAGATTCATAAGTCTAAACAAGAAAATCATCTAAAGAACTAGTCTAAGTCCGAATAAGATGGAACTCAAGGCAACCCGAAAGAACTGGCTTACCCTTGAATTCGAATCGGCGATCACTGATCTTCTAAGCGAGGTCTGTCAATAGCCGTCAGAAGATGCCCTGTACTCAACAAAAATAAGAGCAAGTGCAGTATCAGTACACAACTACCGTGTACTGGTAGGATCACGTGACTATCCCACTAAGTGTAACATAAACAAGTTAATACAACATTATAATCACATGCATATATACAATATTGAATATCACATGCTCAACAATATACATTGATAACAAGTCATTGGTCCTCTCATGGAACCCAAACCCAAATTGTTAGTGCACTGATTCGTGGTACCCGATCCAATAGTTATGCCAAAAGGTGGCAACCGATCCCATATTTATGCCGGAACGTGGCAACGGATCCCAATTGGTATGCCGGAACATGGCAACCGATTCATTCAACACACTACAATCACAATCACAATTATATTCTCAATAATCATACAATCAAGAAGTGATTCATGACATATAGTTATTCGTTCATACTCATTTACAATTAGTGTGATCAACAATGCGACATTCGCATACATACATTCATCATAATGAAGCAAAAACAAGCTTACATCACATAATCATGAAATTACAACCATCACCTACCTCGAATCCAAGCTTGAATACCCTAAGGCACTTGAATCTTCTTTTTTCGGATTCGTTCCGCTTGTTCTTGGTCTACAAACAAGCAATATAATACGGGAATCAATAAACAACCACTAATTACCCGAATTACTAACATTTCAATGAACCCTAGATCAAACCCATGATCCCAATTATTCAAATTAGGGTTGTTTCCACCATATAATCTATAACAAAACCCTCCCTCATCAATATTCACCCATTCTATTATGTTCTATGGTTCAAAAAATGGATTCGGGGAGTGAAAAACTTACTTTAGCCTCAAGAATGGTGAAAACGAGTAGGAGTCGTCTGGGGTTCATTCCTTAGCTCTAAAAGTTGAAAAGTGCATAATAAGGTCCTTTAGAGGTTTATTAATGACCTTAAGTCGCGTTGATCCCGCCACAACGGCACCCACCTCGCTACAGCAGCCTCACCAGAGCGATCAAAACCACCGCCAAAGCAGCTTGCACGAAACAGTGAGCTATTTTAATAATTTCAAGATTCCATTTCACAACACACATTTAACCAACGATGCTCAGAAAATCCCCTTCACGCTAAGATCGATTCTGGGAGTTCTACTCGCCCAAATTCAATTCTGTAAAGTCGTACGGATTCCCTAACGAGTTATCTATCCACTCTTGTAATCAAAAACATAATTAGATCACCCGATTGTTACCAGATTTTTCTATTCCTTAATGACTCCGATTTCATCCAAATCTGGACTAGGTTGGGAAATCTCAAAATACTAAGAAAAAGTTTTTCGACCCAAAGTTTTTCCCTGTTGGCTTTTCTATAACGTCGGAATCAGATCGTTACAAAAGTTTAACTCAAAGTTTTTTTAGTTTTTTTTTATTATTTTGGGGTGGGGAGGGGGGGTTCTTGTAAGTGGACCTATTTTGAGTGTTCATTTTTCACATTTGAATGTGAACCTAACTAAATACGCAAGGCATAATGGCATCAATAAATCATTGAAGGTAACTTTTTAACTTACCTATCATCCAAAGCTTCAAATAAAAACAAAAAGGATAACGACAGTTCAATAAGGTATATTTACGTACATTTTATCCTCTTCCAATTCGACTTATAAAATCATACTAAATACGTTATTGTTAAAAGGTGTTTACGAGTCAGTTTGAATCGACTATTGGCTAAAATCAAAATTAATTTAATATTTTTAAAAATTATTAAAATTCAAACCAAATATAATACAACACATCATACACGAAAATAAAATCAAAAGACATACTTGTTCTAAATACTTTTTCTTCGGTATACACATGTTCGGAATTTTTTGGTTTTGGACTATTTTATTTTCATAAATAAATTTTGATGAAAATATATGTAAGATATTTAAAGATGTTCATAAAAAAGAATATATTATGTATATATTATTATAACAAAAAAATATGTATATAATTTATCCATTCAATTCGATTATTTCTCTGATTTTCCTAAATAAAATCAAAATCAAACTAAATATTATCGATTTTTAAAAATTTAAAATCAAATCAAATCATAAACTCAAATAAAATAGATTTATTTAATCAGTTTGGTTCGACTTTTATCCGAATGGCATATAATTAATGTATAAATTTTGTATATTTCAATCAGTATCGATAATTAATTTTATTGAGTTGGGTATATTGATAACTATTCTAAATAAATACAATTACACCATTTCTTTTTTTAAAAATAAAAAATAAACAAACAACTACCCTTTTTGGGTCTTCAATTTAAAGTTACAGTCCAATTTATTTAAAGAGGAAGACATACCTTTTCTAAAAGAAGAATAATTTTTATTTAAAATGACGCCCCACATAATCTACGTACCCCACATTTTTCTTTTTATGTTCCAAAAAAATAATAATATAAAAGTGGCACTATTTTTTTATTATATATATCTATATATAAAATAAAAATGGTAGTATAAATTTTGTTCTTTGGGTTTTAATATTGAGATGAATCAAAAATCTTAAAATTAACATATTTGTAATTTAAAAATCAACTAAGTGTAAGGCTTAATATATAAGGTCAAATAATGAAATTTTAAAAGGGAAAAGGGTGGCGTCTGAGGCGGAGCCAATATTAAGAGTTAGGGGGTTTTAAATTTCCTTTCACTTCCTTATCATTAAGTTGTCAATCGATTTTGTTAGAGGTTCATACGTTATTTAATTTTCTAGTACAAATATAGGGTCTACGGAAAAATTACTGGGTTCGTCCGACCCCACGAACCCCCACCTAGCTTCACACTTGAAAAAGGCTCGAATTGGCCATCAAACTTTGAGGAAAGGCTCATCTATGTCATCCGTTAAAATTTTGGCTCATCTATATCATTTCCGTTTGAGAAAAGGTTCATTCATTCCATTATTTGTTAACTGAAATGACATAGATGAACCAAACTTTTAACGGATGGTATAGATGAGTTTTTTCTCAAAGTTGGATGGCATATTTGAACATTTTATCTTTAAAAAAGGATTAATTAATGACATCGCCGAATCATAATAAACCACGTGTAAAAACATATTTTTGCAAAATCGAAATTGTTTTCATTTAACAAATAAATGTATGGATGAGCCTTTTCTCAAACAAAAATGACATAAATAAGCTAAACTTTTGACAAATGGCATAAATGAATTTTTCTCTAAGTTCAGTGACATATTTGAGCCTTTTCCCATTTGGAAAAGAATCTAAATATCTTTATTGATTTTTTTTCTCACATTTAATTTTTAAATTTTTTTAAAACCATATATACTCAAAACTCACTTAAGGTGGCTTCTACTATTAAATTGATATAAAATAAAGGTTGTGTCCAACAACATATGAGATTCCTTAATTTTGCTTAACAATTATTTAAATATTCTTTTTAACCAATTTTTTTTACAATTTTGTAAATTATACAATTAAAAGGGGCTTTCCATTGAAGAACTATTTTACTATGTTAGATCACAAGAAACACATTGCTCCTTTGGTCCCTTACATAAGAAAAGTATTTATTGTTTATTACCAAGTCAAGAATAAAAAAAAAAAGCCAACTCATCATCAATAAGAATGACTTGTTCCCTACATATTCATATTTTTGTTTTATACCTTCTTTTTTCCTACCAATGATAGTGTACGGATCAATTTACGCGCATCTCAATTATTTAAATGAATATCAGTTATTTCTCATCAATACAATAATGTTCAATCATTTTGTCCACCAAAACTTAAACGTTGCATATGTTACAGCAGAATAAGTTGCAAATAATCTTACGTAATAACCAAACATCAGCTCGTACTTAATCGTTTATGCGTTTAATATTTTCAAAACGTTAATACATGCATAACATGTGTTTGCTAATAGACTAGTCAATTGAATTTTTATTTTTATTTTTATTTTTTTTATCAAAAATAAATATCAGATAACATTGTACACCAAAGTCTAGACACCCTACATACTCATGCATTTTAATATATATATATATATGGAAGTCATTGTTGTTCAAATCAAATATAACTATAGATAGAGAAAACCCCTTTCCCCTCCCCAACCAAAAACCTCCAAAAAAAAAATGGCTTCTATGGTTTTTACATCATCACCTTTTAGTGTTCAATCATTTGTCAAATTAAGAACAAACTCAAATTATCCACATCCTTCATGTTATGTACCTAGGGTAAAAAATTCTTATGAACATTTATCCTATAAGAATATTTCTCATATTGAGTCTTCCAAATCTTTATTTTTAAAGGGTGATAATAATTTCTCTATTTCATCACCAAAATTCCCAAGAATTGCTTCAACATATTCTCCATCTTTGAATATTATTAAAGCAAGTAGAGATGAAAATATATATCATTACCCAGCATTTGAAGGAGTAAGAATTTTTATTGCTTTCAGTTTATGTTAATGATTTAGAATTTACAATATAATTTTCATTTATATAGTCGTAATTTTCAGTTGTTTTCTTCGCTTCAGGTGTTGTATTATTTGTTATTGTTACTTTATTTTTGTCATGACTTCTTTACTATTATTGTATTTTCTTTCAAGAGTGATGTCGATATGCTTTATTTGAGTCGACACTACATCAAAAATGATCTTTAACTGTAATTAATTAATGACAATAGTTTAATTGCAGCTAAATATATTCTTTTAGCAGCAGTTAACACTCTTTGTAAATGTCTCTAAAGCCTATAGCGACATTGGATCCAATGACAATTAACTAATGCCAATAAAGGCTTTGTCACTCTTTGTTAATGTGCATATTTATTGTCGCTAAAAGTTTTTTTGTTGTAGTACGAGGGTAAGCTAAGGGCAGATCTAGAGGAGGTGAGGGTGTTCACCCGAACCCCTTAAGTGAAAAATTATATTGTATATACAAGATATTTTTTATACAAAGTTTTTGGTGTGTATTCATAAAATTTGAATCCCCTAAATACAAGAGTTGAGGTCGAGTTAGTGGTTTAGGGGTTCAAAATTTACCTTGAGGTCCCAAATTTAAATTTCAGGCACTACCTTTTTATTTTTTGAACACACTTAATGAAAATCCTAGATCCACCACTGATCTAAGATCTATCGAAAATAACTTTTCTACCTTTATAAGATTTGTAGCCATGTAGGGCAAGACTGCTTCAAACACACCACTCATCTCAAACCCCACATATAAAATTATACTGAGTATGTTATTATTGTTATAGTAATGATGTTATTGTTATACTCCCTCAATCCCAATTTATTTAGCACTTTTCTTTTTTCGAAAATCAATTTAAGCTTTAAATTAAAAATTAAATTAAATTTGATCGACTCAATATTTTGAATGTTTAAATATTGTACTAAAGAGTAATATGAATTGCATCTCTTCTCATGCCAATATGATGAAAAAAATTATATTTTAAAATATTAATCAAGATTTATTTACTTTGAATATGAATAAACATAAACATAATATGTCATATAATTTAAAGCGGAAAGAGTAATATTTTATTTTAATACACTTTGTTAACTCTTTATTCTTTAAAAAATATTCTTTTCTTCTTTCAAGTGGATAAATATATTCAAGTTTTTCCTTTCTGCTAAATTTTGTGCCAAAATAGTTAAAGATTATTTCATAATTATATTTATAACTAATCTTTTTGGATAAACAATTAGAAATGTATTAATTGTTTGTATTATTTTACAGGGAGTTAAAACAGGTTTTGCACTTGGGGACAGATACCGGGGGATGGTTCTGCTAATTGTTAATATTCCTCAGATGGGGTATATATCTCTAATTCATAATAAAAAAATAATTCCTCCGTTTGAATTTAATTGTCTAATTTTAATTTGATATAAAATTTTAAAAAATAATAATTTATAGGTGATAGTGACATGTCACAATAAATTTTAAAATGAGAAAAAATATCAAAATAAATAAATAAATGTAATTAGAGGTGATAGTAACTTGTCACATCACCTTATCTATATATAATTTTATATTATAAACAATATATATAGATTTTTTTTGAATATTGATTTCACAACTTTCAGTATGCACAAAGTTAGTAATTAATCATAAGAAAGTTTATATCCATTATTCATAGGAACTTATACTGTATCATTTCATTTATAATCATTTATTTAAATTTTTGATTTAATTATATTGATATTATTTTAAAAAATAATGTACTACATGATTTAGTGTTTTCTTTGTTTATTAAAAAAATAAACAATAAAATAAGTAGCAACTTTCCTCCACGGGAATTAAATCTAGGTGTTTTCTTTGTTTATTAAAAAAATAAACAATAAAATTAGGTGTTTTCTTTGTTTATTAAAAAAATAAACAATAAAATAAGTAGCAACTTTCCTCCACGGGAATTAAATCATTGTTCTATAAACAATGTTGTTTGTCTGAATTTATGTATAATCAAATCATTCTATAAACAGTGTTATTTGTCTGAATATTTATTGTACGTTATAGCGAGATGTTATTCTAGCTAAAGAACATAATATATATATATATATATATATATATATATATATATATAGAGATACTGTATATATATATATATATATATATATATATATAATGAAATACTGTTATAAAAAATTGATTAAAGCTATATAATTTCATTTTTTTTTTTTCATTGTTATATATATATTCACAATTTTCCTTCCTTTTTTTAGTTCTATATGGGCAGAAAAGGAGATCAAGTTTCTCAATGATTTGCGTAAATTGTATGAAGGCAAAATATCCTCCCCATTTGAGAAGGGTATATCATTTTTTTTACTTCTCTTTAATTATTGTTTCCTTCTATTTATTTTTTCTTCGGAAAATAACATATTTTCAGCTTACTTAGGACATGATTATATATAAAAAGTTACGGAGGTCGTGAATTAGGAGGATTGATTAGAGTATATATATGTTTTCTCCTTTTATTTAGTAGTATTAGCATCAATCTTGCAGCTTCTAGTCCCTCAATTTCTGTTACTACATATATTATTTATTGTGTTTCATTATTATTTTATTTTATTATAGTTATTGTTTCTTTTCTTTGTATACTCTAGAATGTTTCCTTATTTTGCAATGTTTTCATTACTTCTATATGATATGTGTTGATTGAGTCGATGGTCTTTCAGTAACACAACCTCTTTATCTACCTTCGTGAGATTGAGGTAAAATACACGTACATTACATCATTTACAAGCCTCACTTATATAGAATTCTGATAGTCATACTCAATTAATAAAAACATATACTAATAAGCATTTAGATAGTTATTCTCAACTAGTTTGAAACTAAAACGTATTGTTATAGTAGTAATATTTGCTTGAATTTTTATTTATTTATAATTTCCAATTGTCATTCAATTACCCAAATATTGTTTTTTCTTTTTATTGGTGTGAACATATTTCACCTCCTTTTTTTTTTATATAGGATTTGAGGTTCTAGGATTTTTTTATGACATGGAAAATCATGATCATAAAAAATCCTGGTTTTGGCGAGAAAATCCTGAAATTGAAGCAGAAAAAGAAAGAATTCGTAGACTTGCCAATTTTCCAATTTTCGAAAAGGTATAATCATATGATATTCAATATTTATTGATTTGACTAATTTAGTGTGTTCAACATAAAATTCAAATCTATTAAAAGAGGAAAACTCATTATCGAAGACATTTCTTATTCATATATAACTCGAACTCGAAATATTTTAATTATAACTTCAACTTTCATACCTTTTTTTTATAAAAAAAAAAAAGAAGTTCCACTATATATATGCACTTAATACATATGCGGCAAATATTTAAACATTATTAAATTTTACACTCCGCAGATGAATATTATTTACACTCTCAACTTTATTTTACATCCCCTCCCTACCCCTTCTTATCTTATGCAATGTCTATTTTACCCTTAATATTTTCAAAACACATACACAACCTCTCAAACTTGCTCTCATTTTTCATTTTGACACTCCAACTTAGCCTTGTTCCATTTTAACCCTTAAACTCCATTTTTTCTTTACCATTTAAACACTTATACTAATTTTTTTGATTTGTTTTTATTTATGTTCTTCAATTGCAATTTCTTATTTTTATACACCAAACACATATAGACGTGTACCTGTTAATTAAAAAAATTAAACATTTGCGAACGAATTTAAAAATTTTCAAATAATAATATTATTTTTTTATATTTCTCTGTATTTTTGCATGAAAATAAATTGACGAAAGTTCTTTGATTTTCTTTCTTAAACATTCAATTAAATTAAATAACACTACTTATTTATTTTTTCTTATCATCTAGGCTATCTAAATTTAACGCAAATACTCACTTTTAATTTTTAATATAAATCAATACGAATAAAAAAACCCATCTTCAAAAAGGCTCTATTGACTTAGTTAATAACACTACTAAAAAAAGACTCTTGTTCATTGCTAATAACACTACTAAACAATGTTAAAACTCGACTGACTTTGTTAGGTTGTCAGTGATTTTAAAGAAAGAAAATTCGTCGGTTATTTTTCACACAAAAATACATAACACTCTTAAAAAGAAATTATTATTTTTTAAAAAGAATTATTTTTTGTTAATTTTTAATTTTTTTAACTAACTAACACGTGTCGATTTAAAATAAGAAGTTGCAATTGAAGAATATATATAAAGAAATCATAAAAATAGTATTTCGTGTTAAAATGGTACATAAAAAATAGAGTTTAAGGGTTAAAATGGAACAAGGCTAAGATAAAGTGTCAAAATGAAAATTACGGACAAGTTAGAGGGGTTGTATATTGTTTGGCCAAAAAATAATATGTATATTATATATCATATAAAAAATATTTTTCGACCTAGGCAGTTTAGATTTTTACCTAAGTTCATAAATATTATAAGTAGAATAACCCTTTTACGAATTTGTTGCAAATTCTAACATTAATTTTTATGATTATTATTTTAATATTACATGCATTAAGAATGTATGTATGTGCATGCATACTTGTGTGTATATTTAAGCTTCATAGGAGAATTGATTTAGTAGGTTACTTATAATTTTTAATTGGCCAAACACATATATACAAACACTTAAACTTGTCCCTAAATTTCATTTTGACACTCCAACTCAGCCTTGTTCCATTTTAACCCTTCAATTCCATTTTTTATGTTCCATTTTGACACTTATTTTTTTATAAGTGATTAAAAAAGATCTTAATTCCTCAAAAATAAATAAATTATTTATTTGAACATTGATGTCATATTTTACTTATTTAACAGGTTGAAGTGAATGACGATCATCATGACAATCTTTGGAGATTTATGAGGACATCAAGAGGTATCACAAAAATCGGGGAAGAATTTGAAAAATTTCTAATAGACGGAAATGGAATACCTATAGAACACTTTTTTCGATACGATGGAGAAACACTAGAACCTCAACCCGTGAGACCAGGAGAATACCCCGGTGAATCATTCACGTCAAAAGAAACCAACATCATAAAGGTACGTATTTATTTACTTTATTATTGAGTGGAGTATTATTAATGTCAAATCAATAGATATTGAATACAACTAATTAATTTATTATTATTAATGTCAAAGTTGACTTTTCTTTTTTCACCTATTCACAGGCTACCATTGATGGATTTCATTGGAAGACACAATCTCAATAATTATTAAATATCTTACATCAAAGTTAATACTCATATTGTGTGCAACATTTTACTTCGTAAAAGTATTGTAATACTTGAGATTATAATAGTTATAAATAAATATTGTTGCTTGTTGTTTTACGTATTTATTCTTATGTTTTACCTAAGCATTGAATCTTGAAATTTTGAGATTCAAACTTCTAAATCTTGTCAGACATAGAAGTTTTAAGATTTTCAAAATAAAAATTTATATACTTGAAAACAATATGAAAAAATACTATAAATCATAAGTAATAATTAATGACTTAAAATACATATAAAGCGTGTATAAAGAAATTTAGGTAAATAAAAACAATGTGATTGTCATTCGAAATTTCAATTATGTCATATAAATTAGGATGAAAATTATACACTCTATATGCAATTACCCGCACCGAATGTATACACCAAACTAATGCAATTTTCATTATTACGTAATTTAATGAAGTAAAACACATGTTAATTCATTATGGTTAAGTAAAATAAACTATAAATTTAAACACATGACATGCATGTATTGACTTTTGTGTATACACCCGGTGCGGGTAAATTTTACCCTACAATGTATCCACCTTATATGAGGATGTATATGAATGTATAAGAGGTTCTTATAGACATTTTTTTGGGTTTCAGAAATAGCCATTATAATAAATTTAAGAGCAACTTTCACATATAGCAAACATAAAAATTATATTTGTATGTTATAGCTATAGTTTGCATAATTGCGCTCCATAGCAAATTTTATGGTTACTATTGAGCTTTTGATTTGTATAATTCACTAGATACATCCAATTTTATATAAATTGTTCAGTTTTGTATAAATTCATTTATACATTGTAATTTGTATAATAAAATCTGTATTTGTATAATTATAAGTGTATAAGACGAAAATATATGTATTTGTATTTGTATATACACTTTTCTCTCGCTTTATACAAACACAAACGCGTTTTATACATTTTATACTGAAATGTATAAAATGGCTAATTGTATACCGAATCAGATGGCAAAAAAATGGGATGTTTGCTGCGAATTACAAATAAAATAAACTATAGCTATAACATTTAATTTGAATTAATAATTTGCTATTTCATATAATTTTTCCTAAATTTAATTATGCTCCATAGGTATAGTTGCATATTTACGGGTTGTAGCTATAGTTAAAACTGTATCGTTTGTATAATTCGCGGGTACATTTGTATAATTGAGGCTTGAACTATTTTTGTATAAACTCAAAATAACGAATTTATACAAACACAAACATCTGAACTTTAAACAATTATACAAATTATACAAACTCAAAATATCAGCCCACATAATTATCACTGAATGTTAGTTGTGAGTGGTAATTAACTAATTTTTTTTTTAGCCCGTCTAAAAAAACACATAACCGAAAAAATAAATAAGAGTTGAGGGGTATTTTTTACTTTTTTTTTTTTTTTTTTTTTTTTTTTCTTTTTTTTTTTTTTTTATATTTTTTTTTTTTTTTTTTATATTTTTTTTTTTTTTTATATTTTTTTTTTTTTTTTATATTTTTTTTTTTTTTTTATATTTTTTTTTTTTTTTCTTTTTTTTTTTTTTTCTTTTTTTTTTTTTTTTATATTTTTTTTTTTTTTTCTTTTTTTTTTTTTTTTATATTTTTTTTTTTTTTTCTTTTTTTTTTTTTTTTCTTTTTTTTTTTTTTTTATATTTTTTTTTTTTTTTTTCTTTTTTTTTTTTTTTTTTTCTTTTTTTTTTTTTTTATATTTTTTTTTTTTTTTATATTTTTTTTTTTTTTGCTTTGTTAAAACATTAATGAGTCGTCCCCTTCCGTCAACCTGTATTATTTGATTGGAAAAAGTGGACGGAACAATCGCGAAGACGCCGCCGCTGCCTCCCGCCATTCCCCTTATTTGTTCCTTGCGGGTTTTCCGATCCTCTGCTTCAAAATTTCAGCAAATACAGGCTCAATCCTTATTCATTCGTAAAATGGTAATGTTGATTTTCTCAAATCCGACATTGTTTTATGCTTTTTCCTTGAATTTTTATGTGATTTTTCTATAATTTTACAGTTTTTTTCGTAAATCTTTTGACCAATCCGATTGTTAGGGTTCCGATTTGCTTATTCTTAAATTGTGGATGTATTTAAGTTTCTTAATGTTATAGGAAAGCAGAAAATAGGATGTTCATGCTATTTGTTTTGGGGCTTATGAATTTATATCTTGTTCTTTTGAACCCTGTGACATGGTATTTAAAGCAGAACTTTTTATGTTTTAACTCCTCTTGGATTAGCTTGCTTTTACTTTTTGTATAAATTTAGCTTCTCTACCTCGAAGACGTAGGAGTAAGGTCTGTGTAGACTCGATACCCTCCCAGACTTTACTTTGTGGGGTTACACTGGATATGTTGTTGTTTTTGCTTTTGTTTGCCGAGATGATTATGCATTAGCTGGTTTAAATCCTTTTACTAACATAATATATTAGTTTAGGCTGGCTAAAAAACTACATTACATAATGTAGCTTTATTTATCTATTTTACTTTTTTTCCTTTGGTGGGATGGAGAACCGAACATCCAGGATGCTACAGCTTCAGTAGCATCTTCGTTTTCTAAAATTTCCTGTTGGAGTAAAGGGAAGTGGATGAATTGTTCGAAAAAGGAGCTACGGGAATTAAGGTGCAGTACAGGTGCTGTTGAATCTGCAGTTAAGGGAATATCACTAGAATAAGAGCTCTGGGACTTCAGGGCTTTGAAGTATACAAGTTTTGTGATGTGTTTTCCCATGGGTATCTGGCAACCATGTATCTAGGGGGATAATGGGCGATTTGATTGCAAAAGCAATAAGAAATCCTATATAGAATATTTACTTTTTTGGGTTTGTGAGTGGAGGGTATAGTGCATCTTTAGCTCACCGAGGACATGACCCTTGGTAAGAGGGTGTAGAGGTCCACGTTTAGGGCATAAGGTTAGTAGGAAGTTAGGCGTATTTCTTTTCCATTCTCAGAGTATTAGTATTACTCTTCCTTTTTTTCCTTATCTTTAGATTTCCATTACTACCTGTTTGTTTCTTTAACCTTGATATCTTATTTTCTTGTTGCTGTTTCTCCTTGTTACTGCCACCTCTTTTTCATCATTCGTTCAACCAATGGTGTATCGGAAACGACCTCTCTACGTTCTCAAGGTAGGGGTAAGATCTGCATACACTCTACCCTCCCCATACCCCGCATATGGAATTACACTAGGTTGTTGTTGTAGTTTGGTTTGTGGATGGAGGAAGAGGGGGAAAGAGAATCCCGTGGGTGATATTAACCATACACTGCTTGAGTGTTAGATGAAGTAGCAACCACTAGGTTACAACTCTAATCTTGTCTTAGTTTAGCTTTGTGTTTTGGTGTTGGAATCTGTGTCTTCCTTTCTCTTTCTTGGAGGAAATGAGGTAATCAAAAGGGTTGATGGAACAAGGTGACACATTTTATGTGACTTCAGCTTCGGTTTTCAATTATATGCAATTAAATTGTTTAAACATATTGGTTGAACAATTCTTTGTTATGAAGAGAAGCTTTGTTCACAAAGGAATGGTTGATCGGTTGAGGCATACTAGTGACAATCTGGAAATTTCATCTTTTACCCCACGTACAATACTTAGTCTGAGGTTTGCTGTGACCTCAAACTGACCAAACAACCCTGTCATAGAGAAGAAAGGATTGGAAAGAGGCTTTAGCTTACAGCTGCTACCCCTCATTATGCCATTATGAACTTTATGGTAGCAAAATTGATGGTTAGAAGAGCAGTTTTACACACTAATAAAAAAAGGAGTAGTTTTGCACTAACTATGTCCCACAGATGATATATCAGTAATTTTGTGTTTCCATGTGGTGGTTGACATATACATTACTTCATCAAAAAAAATGTGGTGGTTGACACATCAATTTACTTCATCAAAAAAAATGTGGTGGTTGACATATTGTAGAAGTAGATTAGCTGAACTGATGAGCAAATCAGTTGTCCCTCTTTCATTTTTGGTGTTTTTTGTAATTTATCTATTTAGTTATTGTTTTCTGGGGTGAAGTGGGTGCAAGAGGACTATAAGTACTAGTGAACACCATTACAAAGTCTTCGCTTTTCCTCCTTTAAGAAAGACTTCACTTTTTCGTTCTAGAGCATTAACATGTAAATGAATTCTTGCTTTCAGAAGTCTAGAGAAGAGGAAATCAAAACCATTCACTAGGTTAAGTTTTTATTTATTTGTTTTATTGTGCATATCTTTTTCCAAACTCATCCTCTTCTATGGTTTTGATGTACCTGGAGGCACACAATGTTTCGAGTGTGCGCAGATGAGTCAGCTACAGGGAGTTGTAGCATAAACTAATCTTGAGTTGCTGATGGCTGTATGATTTGTGTACATGCCTGCTTGGGTCCTTGTAGTGTTAAACTGGTCATAGAAGTGGAAAGATGGATTGTAGATAGGTAAAGTGAGAAGCGATAATAGAAGATATGACCATATCTTGGCTTGGCTATGAATATCTGAAATTATACCAGTCATACACTCGAGGCTAGTAAAGTTGATAGTTGTAATAGTCATCGAGGGTATAGTGTTTTCTGACTTGCTGCTAGTGAAGAAACATTTGCTTGAGGAAGTTTCACTGTGAAATAATAATTTGAATCGGTTGAACCTCTGTTCCAGTGAGCTTGTCTTTGCTGATTTTGAAAGAGTCTTAGCTCTATATAATGAGGACGATATATTGATTCATATGGATGGTATTAGAATCTTTTGCAATATTATCCTGTTGCTCTCTCATGGCCACACCATAAGGTATTCTGGTGCTGCCTCAATAAGGTCTCATCTCTTTTCTCTTTCCTTTTTCTTGGTCAACATCATAATATCCCATCGTCTTATTGTCTTTACCAAATAGTATAATTGATTGGGCTGTACTGGATCACTTTCTCTTTTAGATCTTCTTTCAGTGGAAACCTGAAAGGTAATTTTTGGTGATCTATGATCGTTATCCTTGAACGTACTGTATCGCTTTCTCTTTTAAGATGTTCTCTCTGTGGAAAGAGACTTTCTTCGTGATTTATGATGCTTATCCTCAGATGTTGCTTTTTTCCTTCTGGAAAAGCTAAGGTGCCCAAAGTCTCCAATCCTCTATGTGACATAAGTAACATTTTCTGAATACAAGGACATCTTTCGTCCACTTTGTTTTTCTTTTGAGGGTGAAAAACATACAAAGACACACCGTATGCATCTAGTTAGAGATAAAAGTTCGGATCACCTACAATACTGTTTTACTAACAGTTGGGAGAAATTAATGTACATGATTCCCATCCCAATTTATGTATGGTATTTCCATCTTGGGACATCCCCAGGGAGAAAAAAGATACTTCATCAGGCTTAGATATATTTAGGGTAAGTTGTATGTGCATTCTGATGTAAGAAAAGTGGTACAACATGGAATTTTTTTTTTTTTGAAATATCATGGAATTCTAATAGGAGTGCTGTATGAAGACAACATGATCTCATTGGCATGATGCTTATAATTTAAGTACATCAAGAACAAGATGAAGGCAAAGAGCTACTAGCATATTTATTTGACTACTCTTTGGGTGCTATGCAGGCAAACAGGCACACTATTGTTCTCATGCAGACATCTCAGAACCGAGCAACTCGCACTTTCATGGATTACGAGTCAATAAGTCAAGCAATGGATGGTATGTATTGCGACATTGCTATAATTGCATTTCACTCTTGATATGTTTGCCCTTGTTGAGGCAATACTTGATTCCCCCTGAATGTAGGTAACCAAAAATAAGGCACAAACTTAGGAAAAGATGTCAAGTTCACAAACTTAATTAATCAACAGGATTTGTATCAGCAGCATGAAATCTGAAACTAGAACCCAATAGATTACACCTGTAGTACTTGCAAACAATTTCATTATGCATTATTATCCATAGGAGAAAATCCTTCTCTCTTATTCGAAACTTTGACGAACACTTATTCTTTGTCTTCTCACCGAAGTTCAAGGAACTTTGTCTGGCTAATACAAGCATGTTAGTTTAATTTCCTATTTTGTTCGTCACACTTCTAAAATTATGTTGGACTAGAGCTAGATGCATATAGGAACGGCGTCTATCTTTTGACTTCCAGGTAAAGGAAATCAAGGCAAATAAAGAATCACTCTCATGATTGGATTAGATAGTAAAAAGGAGCTGGGACCCATACCTACTTTTTAGGGATAAGTAAGATCTTAATGTTGAAGGGAAGGGTTTTGTATTGGAACTCCATAACATTGCACATTTTTGCTTTGCATTATAGGTGACACTTCACATTCATAGATGGTTACTTTCATGGAAGCTTGTAAAACACTATCAAGAATCTGTTGTTATAGACCTCATGACAAGAAAGAAGGTTCATTGGTGGGATGTTAATTTTGGTATAATAGTGGAAACATATACTATAGCTAGTAATGAACTTCTAAGGTGAATTATCCAAAATAATTTGGTGGGAGTCAGGAGAGGTAGAGGCAGGCGTGATTAGTCATGACATGTCGCATCTTTAGCTTACCGAGGACATGACCTTAGAAATGAGGGTTTGGAGGGTGCAGATTAGAATAGAATGTTAGTTGGTAATTGAGCGTTCTCTCGCTTTTCTGCGGGATAGACTCGGTGCCATACCTGCACCTACTTTCTTACCAGTAGTATTAGTAATATTTTCGTAGTTTCTTATTCTTCGATTTCGGTTATCCCGTGTGTTTGTTTGTGCTTTGGTTATCGCACTATTTCGTTCTTGTTACTACTTGTTCTTCTGTATGTTGTAGTACTGTTTTCTATTTCACATTATTTCGTTATTGTTTGTTGTTACTGCTTTCATTTCTATATTCCCTTTTTCAAACTACTTTGAAATGTTTTTTAAGCCAAGGGTCTATGGTAACAACCTCTCTATATCTATAAGGTAGGGTTAAGGTCTGTGTGCACTGATCCCATTTGTGGGATTACATTGGGTATGTTGTTGTTGTTGTAGATGGAGGAAGAAAATATCATGGGCGGAAGACATTTTCTTCACATTTTTTGCGTAAATTATTTACCTTGTGCATGTGATTTAAGCTTCAATGTTCCCTCTTATGTTTAGCCATTTTCTAAGATACTTTTTTCCTGCAGGAATTTGTGCTTTGTATGAGAGGAAACTCAAGGAATTGAACCCAGCCATCAGAGAAATCACTTACGACATCTCAGATCTTTACAATTTCATAGATGGCCTTGCTGATATGAGTGCATTAGTGTACCTCTTCCTCCCTCCCTCCTGCTCTCTATCTCTCCCTCTCTCTCTCTCTCTCTCTCTCTCTCTCACACACACACACACACACACACACACAGATAACACCTGTGCATCCATTGAATAGAATCCCAAATCAGAGAAATATGCAAGTATTGCACATTTCGTTACTGACACAGAAAAGCAAATATGAAAATATGGCTTTCTGTGAGCATGTCTTTAAATGCTACTGCTTTTTTCACACCAAAATTTTCAGTTCATCTCATTGATGTTAAAACATACACATACATCTTACACGTTTCCATTTGACCTCTCGGGTTTCTGTACTTTCAGTTCATGAACAGGATGAACTGCTACGTGCACATCAAACAATTGACCACTGGTCCATCCGATAGAACACACATTGTTCATATTCTTAGCACTCACTATGCTTTTGAAATGTTAGCTAATTCCAGCATTCTTTGTTGACTTGCTGCAGGTATGATCACTCAATCCAGGCTTACCTGCCCTATGACCGGCAGTGGATAAAACAGAAAACATTGCAACACCTGAAAAAACTGGCATCGCAGAGATAATATAACTTAAAGGCTAGTTTCTATATACCATTTTCAATTAATTTCCTGATAGCTTTTATGAAGAGAAGACCTATGGATTGGAAGATTGCTGTCAGGAGTAAAAATCTATGTATGATACGCTTCTTTTCCCTGAAATCCAACTCCTATCTGCAGAGCTACAATTAGGAAACCAACTGTTGTCGGAACTGAACCTATACTGGCGCTGCAATTCGAATCATGGATGTATAACTATGCATAGTTCTGTAAATTGAGCACTTTAAACTTGCTAATGATTCTGAGTCTCATTTCTTGTCAGTACATTTACTTGAACAAATATATGGGCATGAAAACGTCTTGGACTTGAGACAGTAGACACAATATTGTTGGATAGGTGCTGTTCAAGTCTAATTTGTTTGTCTTTATGATCTTGTGCTGAGGTTCTATCGGAAACAGCCTTCACGTTCACAGGATAGGGATGAGATTTGCATACACGTTATCCTTCTCAGCCCTCAGGATCGACTCATGGAATTACAATGAGTATGTTATTCCACTGACTTGACTAGTCTTGCATATAACCTATATTTTATTATATTCATCTGTAAAACCATCTCAAGTTCAATCAAAATGATGTCTGAAATAGAATTTGGTAAAACTGTGTACGTATTAACAAAGTACAAAAATATTTGCTTATTGGGTGATAAAAGTAATAGTAATTCAAATAATTTTTGAGACCATACAAAAATATAAGATATAAAAGTGTATTTAAGCCTATAACATTACAAAAATGTAGAAAATCACAGAAGATAAGTCTAATTAAACTTTGATTTTTCTTTTTTTTGTAAGTTCAGATGGTAACCAATTTATCTTGACCTTGACAAGAAATTAAGTCATCATATGCCAATCCACATTGTCATTCTTATTTATTCAAATATTTGATCTATTATTTCACAAAACCTTGAATTACATGATTCGACATACACATGCAATGCACATGTCAAGAAATTAATCTTTTTTTTTGGAAAAAAAAAAAAATCTTACACAAAATACAAAGTTTTTTTATACATTATATACTCTTAACCTATAATAGGAACTGGTTACCAACAACAACGACATATCCAGTATAATCTCATAAGTAGGGTCTGGAGAGGATAGAGTGTACACAGACTTAACCCCTACTTCATAGAGATAGATAGGTTGTTTCTGATAGATGCTCAACGTAACTTAACAAAAAAAAAAAAGGCATTTCAAAGCAGTGACTAATAAATTCATATAAAGAAAAATCTGCAAGTCCTACTATGAATTTTCTAAGCATTGTGGTCCTGTTGTTGCAAGCTTGTTGACTAAAGCAAGTGCATTACTAGTCATATAACTCACATTTGTGACTTTATTCAAGAGTAACTTCACTTGCTTTCTCTTTTTGTCTTCAAGTCCATCTAAGCAAGTGTCTTCATCAGTTAGAGCAGCACTTAGCCAAGTGGTCACATCACCCATTTGGTCATTAAAAGTTTGGCTACTAAGTTTTCTTAGCACCCCTAATGAGTTGTGTAGATTGTCAAGTGCATCTTGCAAACAATCAACACAATCTAAAATAGCAACTCTACCTTTCCCTTTCAAGAAATTGTTTTTCCTCAATTTCAACAAGGATTGAGTGACACCCTTGGCTTGGCTTATTGTCACCGAGACCCCAGCCCGGGCCCACTTGCTAGGGTTGTCCTTGGCTGTCCTCGAGAATGATGCTAGCGAGTGGAGGCAGAGGTCCTGATATCGAGTCACACTACATGCATCGCGAACATAACTTTCTCCTCCCTTACTCAAACACATTGTAGAACAAATTAGTGAAGTTAGACATGCTAGGACTAGTATTAATTTATTAGTCATGGTAAAGGTATCTAATTGAAGCAAATAAGAAATGGAAATACAATGCTTATAAAGAACTTCATGAAGTCCCCTTTTTAAAGAAATGATATATGAGTGACTAGGATAAAGTTAAAGTAGGATATCTTTATTTGAGGAGTTTGTTAATGAAAACAAGAAAGTGGTGAATACATTAAAAGAAAGCAATTGTGTCTTAGATATGAGGGAACAAATCTTTAGAATAATGATGATCATGTTAAAAGGGCCAAAAGTTGTTTTATGTCCATTTCTATTAACTACACTTTTTCTGGAAACTGAGGAAAGAAAAAAACAGGAAAGTAAAATCAAGAAAAGATGAGATCACTTTAAAAGTGTATTGTCATTGTTTCCTTTTTTTTCAAAAACAAACTAGGGGTAGTTCTTGGTAATACATAAACAGATACTCAAACTTGGCCACCGCTGATAAGTAAGCACTCCAACTTTGAATATGCACATCTAGACAACTCAACTCAACTCCAATGTGTCTCAAATGAACAGTCCAACTTACAAAATGATCAACTAGACACCTCCAGAATTTATGTGTTACGTCAGCATCATGTGTCCATGAGACACTGTGGGGACGAGTTGAAGAAAATTGATAAGAAAGTAGAGCATCTTTGAGGTTTCATTTAACACAATCCATTTCTGAAGTTTCAAGGTGTAAAGAAGAATTTACATATATGATAAGAATTACATTCAATTTTTAATAGAACATTGAGCATGAAATGGTAAAAGATCATCAGGCTGAATGTGGATGGATCACATTATACTTATATAATCCACAAGAAACAAGTGCCTTGCAAGTTTAACAGAGTGTAATTTCTGTTTTCACATGTTTGATGTCAATGTGACAAAAACTCGTAAAAATACATAGAAAAATGAATCTTCTATCCAATGACTTTTACTATCTAAACTTAACCAAAATAATAATAATAATGGGTGGTGTCTAAAACTCATACCCGGTAATCACTTCTATAAGTATGGTTATGGAAATAGTTAAGCTCAAAAACATGTATATTCCGCTATCTAGTATCCATGTTGTGAACCAGAGCGACAAGTTCGATATTTTCATTCTGAGTTGCTGAGGCTCCAGTGGTTTCTTTTGAATCTGACATCTCATCAGGAAGGATAGAGGAGTTGGGATCACTTCTGGGAATCAAAAATAGTATAAAAAGTGGAGTGATTCTCAAAATGTTCCTTATCAAAATGGCTAGCCAGAGATTATGAAACTTTGTCCTTGTAATTTTGAAGACATGAAGCAACAATCCGCCAAACCATGTTGATGTCAGAAGTCCGGTATTGTCAATTGACATGAGCAAGGCGAAAAATGTGCCTTCAATGCCAGGAGGACATAGCTTGGAACTTAGAACAAGAAGTGGCATCCACTTTAGCCGTCCAACCAATTGAGTTACACTTGCATCCATCACCATGAAGAAATAATCAGGTATGCCAATTTTCAAATTTAAACGCAACACTAGCACCAAATCTAGCATTCCTGACAGACCAAACAATAACTGAGTCCAAAAAAGCAGGTCTCGAAAAGAATGGTCTTTCAATCCATATTGGTACAGTATAGCCCCTAATAGTGATCCAATGGAGGCTACTGCTGATATGTATCCGATATACTCCTGCAGGAATAAAGCATTTACAGAATTTCACATTTCCATTGTGAGTTCATCTACCAATAATACCAAAAAAGTACGCATGTTTAATAGAACGCATAATACATAAGCATACACTCACACTTGTCCTCAACCGGCAAGTAAATACATACTCTAACTTTGAGTATGCTTTATGCACATCTAGACACCTCAACCTGTCTCCACCTTGTCAGCTGAACACTCCAACTTACAAAATGATCATCTAGACACCTCCAAAATTTATGTTTCATGTTAGCATCGAGTGTCCACGAGACACTGGGGACGAGTTAGAGTATTTAGTTGTCAATTGAGACCAAGTTGAGGTATCTAGACGTGCACTCTCTAAATTGGAGTATTGAGTTGCCAGTTGTGACCAAGTTTGAGTGCTGGTTTATGTATTGTACCTTAATAGAATAACTCATGTGGGCTTCTTCCATTCTAAATAAGAGAACTTACATGAAATAGGAAGAAAGAAAAGTGCATTCAACTAGGTCCCTAAAAAGAGTAAAAGAACTAATTTTAATTTGATAATAAGGTTTTCTGATGCATTTACAACATTAACGAGAAGTCAAACCAAGATGTCAAATGAAAAGATAGGAGAGGCCTACTGTATGTATAGTTGATAGGGTAAGCAACATTTGGCTTAGCATCTAAGCAGGTTAACTTGGGCCTCTGAGTTCCCTTATTTGTTTTTGTCCCTGTATAATTTTGTCTTGTGTTGTTAGTTAGAGCCTAGAGGGGGATACTCTCAATTATGCAGAACCTCTCTTGTGTGAGATGTCTCCTCACTCTAATTAAAGCCTTGCAAGTTGGATATTTTAGAAATGTGTTATTAGTTTCCTTTGGTTAACAGTAAGTTAAATGAATTTATGATTCTAAAATGTACTTAGCTTGATAGGAATGTGACATGTCTAACAGTTATTCACCTTTGAAAAATGTGGTCCTCCCTTTGCATCTGTTGCCCAGTAGAACATTCCTTCCTGGATATCTACACTCACCGCAAAGGATAAGTACATATAAAGACATGGTCGCCAAACTTCCGGGCATTTCAAAGTATTCCACATAGCCTTGGCAGCATCAGTTAAGTTCTGATTTACCTGAGGACGGATTATGATTTTAGAGACTGAGTTGTTCACAAATAGTAGAGAGATGAGATGTAAGTACCTGTTGATAAGCAAAGTTGTGTGTCGGAGATTCCTTGAGCAAAACTCCTACCAAAATAACAAGCCCGGCTGGTATGGACAATAAGCCATATACCCCCTTTTTTTCAAAGAAAAGGATTCAGAAGTAATCTACTATAATTAGACATTCACTAGATTTCCCATAATGAATATATAAAAAGTTGTTTAAATTATGGATAGAAAGCTAACCATAGGGCCAAGTAAGTGAACTAATATACCACTTAAAGAAAATCCCACTAGTGCCCCAATTGAGGAACTCAAGGCACATAAGCTTTGCATATCAGCTGCAAGGGAAGGATGAGAACCGCTGTTTTGCGCCACGCATGCATCAACAGTCACGTCAGCTATAGCAACAGCAGCACTTCCTGCTGTCAAGGAGAGCAGTGCAAGCACAATATGCAAGTTCTTGTGCAATGATAAGAACAGCATGGAGACAACTCCAAGAGAACCTGGAATCATTAATGTCATGCTTTCATAAACAGAACGAAAAAAATAGCAAATATGCCAAAGAAATAATAAACAGAGACGATATTCAGTTAACTTTTTTCATTGAATTTACTTTTGTCAGCATTTTGATTCATTAAACAAGTTATGGTAAGGATGTCATGAAAAACTAGCACAAGACACTTGAAAATTTCATCAGTTTCAACCAATATTCCCTTAGGGTGCAGGCAAATGGTAGAAGTGCCATCAAGTGCAGAAGAAAATTTTACTGTATCAGTTTCTTCCAGAAAACTCGAAAAGGGGAATTAATTTCTTCCATCAGCATTAGCTAATGTCTCCTTAGCGAGTACCATAAAACTAAAAACTTAGTTAACAAGATATATATCAACACTTACATGATCCTTCCTTCAAAGACAATAATACTGATGTCTACATTAATCTAGGTTGTTAACATTTTCTTTGACCAAGATATATTTCCAATTTAGTGATGTCAGGGATGAGTGTCTCAAAACCTAAGTTGTTCAGACTCTCCAAAAATGTTGCCGCGCCTGTGTCGGATCCTTCAAAAATACACTATTTTTGGAGGATACGACACGCACCCGTCGACATTTTTAAAGAGTCCGAGCAACATAGCTCAAAACAAATTGTAACAAAAGCAAGAAGGAAGTCTCTTTTTAGTAGAATGGAATGGAGTCATTTACATGGAGCTAGAATAGATTTAAATCCAAATTCATTTCAGAAGTAGATGAGGACTTCTAAGATCATATGAATATTTCAGTTCCTTTTGAGGGGATAAGAATGTATTATCGGAAGTTTGAAGTGTAAATGTAGCCACTTTTCTGGCCAAATGTTAAAGAATATGAGAAGCATATTCAAAGTGCTATAGTCTTAAACCTAAGAGGTTCCTATAAATGCACCAAGGGTCATTCATCTCACCTGCACTAACTACAGCTTAGAAGGCTGGAGAAGATTCCAATTATTTGAAAATGTAGGAGAGCAAGTCATCACCTTATTAGCAAATTCCTAATCCTACTGATTATTACTCTGCTACTATCTTCTTCTTCAATTGTAGTATTACCTATTGTTTCTTTGCTTCAGTTAACATACTATTTTGTGGTTGCTACTGTTCTCTGCTTCATTGTTTTCAACATGGCTTATTCGCTATTGTATTTGCTATACATATTTGTTTTTTTATATGATTTACTTGAGCGAAGGGTCTATTTGAACCAGTCTCTCTACATTCAGAAGGTAGGGGTAAGGTTGCGCACATACCACCTCCTCAGATCCCACTTGTGGGATTACACCGGATATATTGTTGTTGTTGTACTGATTATGAGTACCATATCTAATTCATTAAGTTGTCCAATTTATGTTACGTTAATTGAAAAGATGTCTTACACTAATTAATATGCCTACAAATCCTCTAACTATGGAATTTCTTTTTTGTGATCATATACATATATTCAGTTCATACGAAATTATACACATACATAATACAACATAGTTACACTCTCATTGATATGCTCCAACCTTGCTACAAATATATTTATCCTTGTGTGATAAAATCGGCATTTCCCTTGGACTGGAATGTGTAATAAACTTCAAATATCACACTAGATGGAAAGGGTTTCTTGACTGTCAAAGGATCACATTCTCCCTTGTAATGCATACTTACCTGCCAAACCTACATTATGTGAAGACCTCATTCCATTGAATCCCATAGTTGCCGAAGTTCCATTACCTTTTGTTCCTACAATCTTTTGATTGCTCCTTAGGGGGTGGAAAAGATTATTAATCCTTGGAATATGATTACTAATTTTATTAGTATCATGTCAGAATTACAGTAAGCAATTGCCTGACAATAAATAGTAATTCTCTAGTAACAAATCTTTGATTCCAGGAATTTCCTTACCTGATGATATACATCTTTTTTGATAAAGTTCAAATTGTTGACGAACGAAAGCACTTAGAAAGTTTTACATAAGTTTACAAGTTCAATATATACTCACACACTTCAACTTCATGTTGTAGCTTTCAATATTTATGATTGAATAACTACAACTGTTAGGAACTTCAGAGATGCTCTTAGTCTATGCATGACAACCAACAAAGTTTTATTTGTTTGAAATCCTAAGGTAATCCAAATCACAGCAGAGACCAAATCACTTCATGACTTCTTTCTCATCTACCTAAGCCTTTTGTGGACAAATTTACTCGGTACCATACTAGTAGGTGGTAGCAGGTACCCCATAGAATAGGCGAGGTGTGCACAAGTTGGTGCGGACACCACTGTTATCAACAAAATTACCTAAACAAGAAAATATTCATGGAACCTGCTCTGCAAGACATGTCAAATGGACATGGTATGTCATATGTGAGCTGACTGAAATAGATAGAGAAAAAGAACAGACTATGATTAAACCTATACAAAATCTATTTGTGTCCAACTAAATTGGCTTAAGAATATATTGATTAGTGAGTAATATTCTTCCCTACCCTACTCAACACAACCCTATTTCTTAATTAAGTGTTAAAAGATGAAATAGAAATCTTAATCCTAGATATAGTAGATAAGCTTGTTTTCTAGTGCCTGTAAAGTGTACTATGAAGTCTGGACATTTAAACCTGAAGCACTACACACTTGGTGAAAGAATCTAAGCATCCATCTCAGAAACTTAAGGCAATGGGTGGAGTAGCTCAAGACATTATAAACCCCTTTGGGAACTCTTATACAAACAAATGTGTGAAATAAATCAAAAATTTGGAATATGTTTGACTTTGATATAAAATGAAAGAATTTGAGCATCGTACCGGAAATCTTAAGACAGTGGGTGGAGTGGCCCAGGCACTAAACTTGCTTATGAAAACCTTACATTCCCTATGAGGGATAAGTGTATTCAACACCTTAACTAATACTTATTTTTGTTTACTTTTTTGAAAATTCCCAAGAAGGAAATTGCAATCTCAGGTTTGTTCTTAACTTGTTTGTAGTCACATTTAATTTCCTCTCCATCAAAGAATTTGTAGATGATTTAAATATTATGATGCACCAATAATTGCAATTCTCACAGGCAGCATTCTTAAAACTCTTACCCATTTGAGAACAGCAATGTACTTCAAACGCTCAACTCAAATTACAAGCCTAAGTTTGAGTTGTTTGTAACCGACATGCGACTCAACTGAAGCTACACCCTGAGCATGCTACCAAAAGAAACTACTTAACATACTGATAAAAGCTTTCTTAAAATGGAGAGAAATATGTGCCAGTAGCATATTCTAAGACTTTCGTTCTTTCAATGACAGTTGAGCCTGAGAGCCATAGGAGTTTTAGCTAAAGTTTTGGAGAAGATATCATATCCATCTTATCCTTTTCCCGCTACTTATGTACCTAACTACATGGGATTTTCCAGTTTTAGCAAGTACTATAATATTATGTGGACAGATTTCAACTAGCTATCAGCCTTGAGACAACATTAACTACAGCTAAACTAACAGATAATCAAGAGTCTAAAATCAGCAGTAAAACAAAATAAAAGCTAAATGGCATTGCATATTTTACCCGCAAACAAGAAATAAGGTCTGCGACGATACCCCAAAATGGGAACAGCATCAGTGAGAAGACCCCAAAGAGGCTTGACCATCCAGGGGATTGAAGTTATCCCTGAATAAACCTGAGATTCAGAAGGTTGCACTTTTTGTACATCCTTCATATAGTACTCTGTGCTTATTCTGGAAAAAGCTCCACCAAGTCCTTGGCTTACTCCATATACAATCACCACACTAAACACAAAATTCCAGTGTAATTCCATAGCAAGCATTTTGAACCAGTTGACTGGAGCACAAATAGAACTACAGATCCCATTATTATGCTCACTTTCTTGCACTTCCTCATCCTCACTATGAATATTTTGAAGTTTGGCTTCTTCCCCCTCACTATGAATAATTTGAAGTTTCTCTTCTTCCCCCATCACTCCCCAAATCTACAAAATGGGATCCCAAAAGAACAAGAAAACTCCACTTCAAGATTAGGCCTTTTTCAAGATCCTAGTACAAAAAATGTCCTGGAAAAGTCAACCTCCAAGCAAATGGAGATCCCAATCTGTAAAACCCCAGTTCAAGATTGAACCTTTTCAATATTCTGGTACCTCAGTGTCTTGGAAAAGTCAACTTCAAAGCAAATGGGGATCCCAAAATCTGTAAAACCCCACTTCAAGATTAGGCCTTTCAATAAAAGCATGGAAAAGTCAACTTCGAAGCAAATGGGGATCTCTTAAGCTTGTTTCTCCCATGGGGTTTTAGAGATTTCTTCCTAAACTTGGACTATTCCTCAAATAGCAATGAAATAAACTGTCTTAAAAAAAAAATACAATAAAGATTCAAACTTTATCTGATCTAAAAGCTAAATTCTCAAAAATATGTCCCCCTAGACCATTAATTATTCTTTCAACTTGCATATTACTCCAAATTTCTCTCTGTGTTTGTCTGTTTGAGAAGGGTAAAAAACAGGTAGATTCAAGAATGGTTGTTGGGGAGACAAGGGAAAATTTCAAGGTAGCTAAGTTTTAACATTTTCTTGTTCACACTTCACATCAAACTTCTGTATTATTATAGTAAGTAAAATCATCCCAAGGGAGAAGGAGGGCTGTAATAAAGGATTTAGCATTTTCAAACGAAAGACTACGGCTACTACATGCTGTTATGTCTTTGTTAACGTACATACAATAATAAAGAAATTACATGTCATTTGTATATTTTGTTCGGATAATGAGGAGAACATGTCATTGTGAGTATAAGTATAACACCACTTTCTTTATTTTATGTCTACTAATATTATTATATATGTAATATTAGGTCCTAATGGCATGTTGTGAAAAAAAAATCTTTGATTTGTTTCTTTCAAAATCTCAAATGAAAGATTTTTAAGATTTCTTCTTGTCTTTTTTATTTTTCTTGGAATCTCACTTTTTTTTTTTTTTTTGCTTCTTGAATAACTCAAATTCATATTGATTAAACGTAAAGTATTATGAGTTTGTTAGATTTGTTATTGTTTTGACAAATTGTTAATTGGAAATTGTTTTTTTATGATACATGAAACTTTTGTTTCAAATTTGAGCTTACTCGGAGGAGATTTGGATGTTGAAATTTCAAAAATATATTTATCATTAATTTATGACAAATTTTACATTCACTTCATATGCGACTTTTTAACCTCAGTAGCATATGTCTGGACATTTTAAATTTGGGTGAACCTATAAAATAAAAAAGGTAGACATTAGTTAAAAGCAAACAACACAAATTCCACTACGAAAATTATTTTCCTTCTCGTGATTTTTAATATTATAAATCTTACCAAAATTTGAACTTCAGATACATGTATCTGGCGCGTCAAGATCATGTATCTCGGATACATGAGATCAAAATTATGTGTAGTTTGTTTTAGATTACGTTGTATCTAACTCCATCACTCATCTCTCTCTTTGTATCTGCATTTCATAATATATTTGGTATCTCAGGCACATGTATCTAGTATAATTTGCATGTATCTGGAATACACAGACTCTCTCCTTCACGTCCCTTCTATCTCGCTTGTCTCTCTCCCTATGAATTTGTATTTTAAAGTGTATATGGTAGTATATTACATGTATCTAAGTCTATCAGACTTGACATCTAGTATGAAATTACTAATTAAGAGACAATATGTAACTTTTTCATACTATAGAAAGAACTAGTAAATATGATAGAAATGTTTGTATGATTAGGTAGTTTTTCCGCAACCTCAAAAGCGGATA